TATCTTTTAATTTATACACTCAAAGAGTCTGCATGTCAATAAATTATGAGGCTCATGAACAATGATATCATTCAACTATTTCCTGATTCCCTTCTGCTGAAGACTGACCCAGCAAACAGTGGCCAAGAAGGAGAGCAGGACTGAATCTTGTCCTGTACCACTGCAGTCTGGACCTGGCAGCAGGTGAGACCTATGCTGTAACAGGCAGAGGGTTGTTTTTCTGGTTTCCAGAGAGCTTGGGTAAATATGCGTTTTGCCATATACTTTCCACCCCTGCTCAAACACTGCCTAATTGTGCTTTCAGCTGGCTTCAGGAGTAGCTTCCTCCAAGAAAAACTCCCATCAGCCAGATTTTTCCATATTTATCTTTCTGGTGTCGACAGTTCATACCATTCTGCTGTGACCAGCATTACATATCTTCACTTTCTTTACACGTGAAGTCCCACAACTTGAAATTAACTTTTTCTTCAAAGGCCACCCTCTCTACCCCATACAAGCTCAGTCTGCCTTCTCTTCAGCAGTTGTTTTCCTCAAACATAGCATTAAAGAAAAGCTGAAATCATGCCCTTTTGGCATGAGTAATGCAACCATTTTTGTTTCACCTGACTTTCTCCCAACAGCCTTTCAAGTCAACCCCACTAACATACATCATTTTAGAGTGTATTGGCACAAGCTCAGTCCATGAGCTTCCAGCTGAGTAGCCCTCAAAGAGCAAGGTCCTTAAAAATATATAGGTATCTAAGTGCTTTGGTACATTTGGATTTAGTCCATTTAAGGTTTATCTCATGGGTCTCGGTTTATCCATCTTACATGGGATCGACAATGGAAAGCTTTGGCAAAGAAGTATAAATCCAGTTAAATACCTGAGCAGAGGAAACCAGCCTGGGAGGGAGCCTTGCTGGAGGCTGATGGAGCCCTGCAGTGGTGGTCAGTCAGGGACCTGTGGTCTGGCCCAGGGACCTGGGGACTTGGTCTGGCCAAGGGTCTTTCCAGCACATGATGCTCAGAGGAAGCAAAGTGAGACACATCTTTGTGTGTGGGAACCATCTAGTCTTGCTGCCCAAAACCAGCCATGGGTGTTGACAGCATCATGGGGAAACCAGAAGGGAACAGGAGAGGACAAGGAGGTGGCAGGGAGTGAGAGAGGGTAATACTTTGAAAGTCTGGGTCCACCTTGGGCTGATGCTGCACCCCAAACCATCTCCTAGAAGCAAACAAGCCCTATCAAAGAGTGAGCAAGTGCCCTACTTTAGCACCTTCCTTCTTTCACTCCAATTAAATAGGGCTGAATACTTTCTGCCACCTCCACGCAGTGTGGGGGTGACAAAGCTGTCCAGCAAGTCAATTTCCATTGTGTGTCTGGGAACTCCACCTTTCTCCATGGAGATAATGCTTCGCAAGGACTGGAGCTCTTTCCTCCTAACTGGTTATTTGTCTGCAACAGTTTTGAAGCTTTATGTGAGTTCTGTGAAGAGCTGCTTCACCAAGCTTGTGTCATTATCCATGTGTTTTTGCTAACATTTTCCTGGTTTCTTGTGTTTCAGTTGCAGCTTGAGGACTTGATGCCCATTGTAATGTAAAACTAAGAGACTTCAGATTTCTCAGATATTACCGAAAGAAGTGCTTGTGGGTACCATTTGTATATAAGCATCCTGTATCACTCTGAGTCACAGCCTCTTGTTGTCAGTGACACCCCAAGGGGGAGAGCATCACCCTGGTCTGTCTGCTGCAGCTCAGTAGGAAACCCTCATGATTCTGTGGAGCTTTACCCAGCCTCCTACTCTTGCCTCCTGCCCTGCATACACCTTCCCAGACAGCACCAGTTCCCACTGCAACAGTTCAGTGCAACGGGGCCCCATGCCAAGTGTTTTATGTGTCCATCCACAGTCCTGCACCAAGCTCCCTGCCAAGGTCACACAGCGTTTACAATTGCTCCCAGCACGGGCTGGCTGGTAGGGCTGGTGTGCCCTGGGAGCTCATATAGAAAGAGGCATGACCAGGGTGCTAGGAATGCATGCTAAGCACAGTGGCTTTTTCTGGAGTCCCCATCCCAACTGTCTCTCCTTAGGAAGCTTGTGAGATGTGCCATGGCTCCTCCTGATCTTTGCTGTCCCCAAGAGGGCTTGCTGCATTACTAATACAGGTACTATTGTAGTGGCCTCAGCACTGAAAGGGCCCTGAGATTGGTGTATCAGTCAACATGTCTGTCCTGTGTATTGGCTGCTTCCAGAATCTGACTTCCAGGGGGCATCCTTGGAAATGAAGGTCTTACCATGCATGGCCAGTGCAATCTGCCCTCCAGATGTCACTCCTGCCACACAAATCCACACTATGCCATCCTCCCCATGCAGTCTGCAGTAATGGAGAATGTGATAAAGTAGGTTTTCTTCCTTCATTGATTTTTCTTGCCACTGCTCCCACACTCTAGATTGGAACAAGGCCTGAATCTTTTCCCACTCCTGGTGGCACCCCACCCTGCATTCACTGCAGAGATGACACATGTCTGGAATGGAGGAGGAGCTCTCACATGCTTGCCATGTTTAGTGCTTACCGTAAAGGCTCTCTTCCTGAAGACCGTGTTGATAAAGCAGTGGGTTAGGTTGCAAATTAATCAATCTAGCCAGAGCTAGCAGCAGACCATGAGGGCATTCTGGTTTTTTCCCTGCTGTTGCTGCTTAGGTTTTTTGGTTTTATTTGTTTTTTGGTTGGTTTGTTGTTGGTGTCTCCCCCCCCCCCGCTTCCCCATGCTACTGCTGATGTGACAGGATAGCCCCTGGCCCTCAGTCTTGAACCATATGAAACACTGTGATGCTGTTCAGCTTTTAACCTGGGAAGGAGTGGGGGGCTGGACCACACTCCTAATAGTTTCCTGCACTGCCCATCTCAGTAATTCAGTAACTAAAACATAACTGAAAATCATCTTTAGTGCTAAAGTTCATGCTTGTCTTTGTAGTTCTGGTCCTACCTGGCCCTGTCCCTCCTCCTTGCTACAGCTTGTGGTGCTCTGACTTGGGTTTCCTTTTACTACAGACTCTGTTTGTGAGGTTTATTTCCTGTACCCACTTAAAACAAAAAACACTGTAATGAATGTTCTCTCTCCTTTTAAAGCAGTTTCATCTAATCTGACTCTGTAGACAAGATCCTTTGCCTCTCCATTTGCTTTCCTGTTGTGGCTGAGGCCTCTTCAAGCCACCTAAAACTAACAGAGGTGCAGTATCTTCACCTTCTCTGGGACTAAAACAAAAATGATAAAATGGCTCTTTTATAGCCACTTTGTAAAAAACCCCTACTCTCAAGTGTGGCACATGCCATTTAAGCTATGCAATGGGGTGACAGCAATTTTAAATGTCCTCAGTGTGTGTTATGAAACAGATACCAACAGCTGATAACAGCAGAATGCATTGCAAAAATTCCTGAGCTGCTGCCACCCGCTGGTGTCACTGCCTCAATTTTGCAATGTCGAAATTCTCCCATGCAAAGGTCCAATTTCCATTTTTCATTCACATAAAACCCAGAGATCCTTAGGAGTTCGAGTTCCTTTTCCCACTGTGTCCAACACACCATCCTTCTTTGCACAGAGCAAGGAAAGGCAAATGAAGTCAGAAAGCCTCTTCTGTGTTGAAAAGACAGCAACTCTTTTCTTCAAAGACAGAATTGGTAGATAATTTTTCAAGCTTGTTCTCTAGCCTTTTTCTTGACTTCCAGTCTTATTTACTAACTGGAAAATAAATCCGCATCTGACTTTTCTCTGTAGGCATTTCTGATACTATCTGCATAAGGAGAGGAGGGTTGGTGTTATGGGAAGAGCATGAACTACATGCCTGCACTTTGCCCAAGCCAACTCCCACCAAAATCACAGGTGTCCTCTGCCACCTCCCATGGGAGGGTTGTAATTAAATGCCTGACTATTCCTAGCACAGGAAGGGGCAGAGGTTGCTGTGAACCCTTCTAGATCCCAAGAAGCCCCTGTGGCTGACCTGCAGCTTCTGTGCACCTGGTGCTTTGGCACCTTCCAGCGCCCTGCAAGGAAAAGTTGACAGCAGCTTCCTACCAGGGGTGAGAGATGGGATCTCCCCTGGTCTACACAACCATGAAAGGGGGGACAAGGGGATGAGAAAACGGGCAAGCAGCTGGTTGCTACAGCCAGGTGTCTGAGAAATAGACAACTGGCTGAAACACTGTGCTTTGCCATGCAGGACGGTGGGGTTCCTGGAGGTGCAGAAGGAGGGTAAGAAAGATCATGAGATTCCTCACAAAGCAGATTTGGCCTCTGCAAACCTCCACAAGCACACTAATGGGACAGAAACACTCAGGGATGCTCTCGTACCTGCAACTGACAACACTGAGTGGAGAAAGATCTCTCCCACCTCTAGAGAGACAGACACTTGTGGCTGGAGCAGAGAGATTTGTCTGAACAATTTTTCCTGCATTTCTGTAGGCCTTGCTTGACATGACTTCAGAAGTTGCAAGAGGCGTAATGTTTATACTTATAAGCTGTGTGAAAATATGCAATGTTTATACTTGTTAGCTGTGTGTTTATAAGGTTTGAGAACATAGTATGTTTATAGTAAGAAAGTCTTGAGAAACTGGAGATAATGAAACACCTGCAGATCTCGGAAAAACCCTAAAGGCAGAGCATTAGAAAGAGCTTTGCATGCCAAGTATGATCTTAGGCCGCATGGACAGAGCCTCAGATCCAATAAACCGAAAGCATGAGACACGTGCACAGACTGAGCTATCCAATCGCCTTGTTGTGAGCATGTACCCAGAACAAACTAAACTGTATAAAAGTTAACTCATTTAAATAATAAATTGGACACTGCTGATCACATTGATCGTCTGCTTTGTCTCTGTACTCCTGCTGTCCACAGACACTGAGTCAAGAACAGGGGGAGAGACCAACCGACTGCCATGGGAGGTGCGAGTCAGGCCACTCTCTTCCAGCCACATGCTGCTTGCAGGGGCACACCTTCCTGCAATAATGTGAAGAAACAGGCAGCTTTATAGAAACACAACACAGGTTTCTGTTTTAATGAGAAAATAATTATATACTTGCATTGTAGGCCTCACAGTCACTATAAAACAGAAGCAGGATAACATTTAAGTGGTTAACATACAGAAAGCCAGGTATTGTTGAAACTAGTTGGTAAGTCATGACAAGGATGCTGCCTTTTGGCTGCCAAACATGTCACTGCTACTCTATTTTCCTTCAGATAATGTCAGTACAGAGCAAGATGAAGCCCAAATTGGCAGCTTTAAAAACGAACTGTTCAGAAAACCTGCACTGTAACTCCAAACTGATTATGATCACAAATGCTAATGCTTAACTATTTTTCAATACACAGTTTCATTAAAACCAGTCTTTGCCACGGGAAAGGATCTCAGCGTTTCTTTTGTGGAGACAAAGTTAACTCTGCAATAGTGCTCTTTTGTTGCATTTGATACAGTCATATATAGATAGATATGTAATACTGGCGTATACTTATAAACACCTAAGCTTGGTAGCATGCAAATCAAATAACAGAGGCAAGGAAACTGCATCTCACTCTTGTTACCACAGCACTGAATGTGCTGCTGACTATGAGTGTCCATAATTTCTGGAAGAGAAAAACTGCTGGGTGGAAAGTCTGTCTGTCTTGGACTGATACATGCCAATACTTTTGTGGCAGGGGCTGAGAGCAAATACTTCTATCGCAGAGGACTCCTGCCTGGAGTCTCCTCACCGCCACATCCCCCTTCTAGAGGAACAATTTAATTTTCACTTCAGGCCAATTGTAGCAGTATGGGGGGGATGTGGCAAAGCATGAAAAGATGCCCGACAATGAGTGATCAATGTCACTAGCTTCCAATGAGAGAGCAGGGGGGAAAAACAGGCCTACAGGCTAAAGAACATACTACCACAAGTTCCTGGGAAGGCAGTCCAGGGCTCAGCCAGCTTTCAGGAGCAAATATTGGAGGAAACTCTGAAAAGCGCCATTTAATGCAACACCACCTCAGCACAAGTACAGAGGCCATATCCTCTTCTCAGGAAACTCCTTCTTCCCATTCTCTCTTAATCTCTCCCCAGAGGTGGAGGGAGCCAGGAATCTTCTTGACACAGATGTGCAGAGCTCACAGATGCAGCTACATCATGTATGGTCTCACTAGTGCTGCACTGGTGCCACTGCTTTTCCTACAGCTGTACAGTAACGACCCGCCTGCAGATACTAATCACAGTGTCGACTGCCACGTCTGAACAACAGGTCCCCTTCATTAGGTATGTAATTCCTTCACAGGCATGGTGCCTCCTTGAGATAAGCTTGCTGCCCTTATCACAGTGAACTCTCGGTTCAGCAGCAGTTTTCTTCTATTCAATAGCACTTATGGAGACAACTGACAGAACTGAGTCCATGGGTATATACAATTGTATTTGCTACAATTCCCTGAAAATAAGCCTCCAAATTATATGTGTCCATGGACAGAAATCACGTGCTGAAGGGTGGTGGTGGTGAATAATTTGGTTGCAAGCTCTGTGTTTAAGAAAAGCACCAAAAGTATGTTCACAGTATCGGTACTCATTTTAAATGAGCTCACTGTTTCAGGATAAAACAGCACAGCAGGTCATGAAACCAAGGAAAGGCTTAGGGAGGACACAGTATCCTGGCTGATGATTTCTTAAAAAGATGTCAAAATAATAACTGACTGTAAAAAAGACAGTATTCTGTATAGAAAAAAGCTCGGTGTCTTTTTTCCCATCACCTCCCAAACTTGTTGGTTTCTAGTCCAGAAATTATGGTTCCCAGTTGTAAAATACTCCTATTGTATTGCTTGGTGATAAGAAAGAGTAAACCCGCAGCCTCTATACTACATACAAATACAAAGCACAAGAATTAATACCACATTTCTTTTCCTAATCGTCAGCTTACAAAACTGGTCAATACTTTGCAATTGTGACTCATGCAAATACCATGTTGGGTCAAATTTTAATATCACAAATACTGCATTAACTCAGTGCCTTATTTTTATATCCCCTTTCGGAAAAAAAAAAAAAATCATAACTCACAACTATAGCTGGTATAACAGCTTTGGAGAAAATAATCAGTACACACACTGCCATACACTTCCTGGTATGCCAGCCTCACGCACACACCCGCACACACCCGCGCACACGCGCACACACACGTGCCCACACGCGCACACAGAACCACACTAATCCTTCACTGCTGATCCCAAGCCTAAGCAATAACTAAAGGCTCTATGGTTCGCTTGTAGCGCTGGAAACACCTGCTGAACAGCAGAAGTAATGTTTTCTTCCCCTGTCTGCTCTTCCTTGCTCATTCCTTCCAACTCATTATGCCCTTTAGCTTTTTTGTTGCCTGGAAACGTGAAGACTTCCACAAAGCACTCTACTTCAAAGGCTTTTTACGTTGTATAAATATAGTTGAACACATAACTATCTTTTTTCTTTATTTCTTACCTCTTTCTAGGCCAGAGTCTGGCTTAGTTCAATTATTGCCTCATTTAAAAATTAAATGTCCTTTATTATCCCTTTCCCACTACCTTTCTGCTTCAAATTATCCATCTTCAAAGATTTAATACATATGCCATTCTTTTCCCTCCCCACCATCAAAAAATAGTTGTCATCCGCTAAATACAGATTTTCTACTTAGAAACTTTGTTGTGTAAATATGCTCTGAGAACCTGGAGTTCAGGTGATATTGCAAGCATATAGGATCCTAAAGCTAAGGTAATCCATTTGGCTTAGCTCTCATCCCCATCTATTCCACTCCTAAATTGTGATGGCTTGTGTTTGCAACACAAGGACTGTTTGACTGAGTCTGCTGGATTGTATATTTGCAATAACTGCCTCCCTGTTTGTTGGGTTTTTCTCCTTTTAAACAGATAAATTACTAGAAAGGGGAGCAGAACCCACCCCCCCAAAACAACCAGTCCAACCCCAAACCCAACCCTTCAGTGTCCTCAAAGAAATAGAACAGAGGGCAGTATCTTCGTGTGTTGTGGCTGGATAAGAGTATGCCGAATTAATGCTGACGGTCTTGGTGCAGCGGCTGTGGGAGGCAAAGGAACTGCAGGAGGTTCTGACAGGAGCTGCTGGGTGGACAGTGATCCTGGGGGCAAGGCAGGGCTGTCAATTCAGTCAACACGAAGCACAGGTGTGAGCTCTGGCCACAGACTCGTCCATGACAACTTCCTGCCATATGCCTGCAGCCTATCTGGTCCACACAGGGACAATCTTGGACACCCCCTTGTGCCCACCCCCAAGAGCTCCCACCCCCTGCAGCCTCTCCACTGCATTATTTTCAGAGGGGAGATGGAGAGAAGAAGAAGGGGCTATTTTCTAGGTGTGTTCTTCCTGTAACTTCAGGATTGCCCGGAGCAGGATCATTTCTGTGTCTATGTGCATCGAGTTTCTTGTGTATTTAATAAATATTGGACTAAAATGCTGCTGCTTTCATGGTGGGTTTTTGTGTTTGGATTTTTTTTGTTTTTCTTTCTTCCTTTCTCTTTTTTTGGTTCCGGCATGCCTGGTCGCTGTCTTCACACCGCAGTGTGGTTATTCATCCTCCTCTCGGTTGGCATAAATGCCGGCTTCCCAGCGCAATGCCAGAGCGCTCTTCCTGCGGTTCACCCTGGTCGCCTCCAGGACCTGGTCAGGAAAGAAAGGGAAAGCACAGGGTGTCACTCAGCTGCCCACAGCCCCTGTGTAGGGGTGTCCCACACTGTGCACCTGGGCAGACAGAGACCAGCCAGGTAGGCAGGGACCAGCCAGGTCAGCCCCTCCCACAAGGCTCCCAGTGCCGCACCTTGTGCAAGATGGGGAGACTCATGCAATGAAGCACTTACTGATGGCACACAAGAGCAAAGCCACACCACAGGAGGACAGAAGTGGTAGGAGTTGTCTGGCAGCACCCAAATGTCTTCTGGGGAGCCCCACTTGCCCTTTACCAGCCCAGCTGCACATTGCCCCATCCCAGGGTCTCGGCCCTCTCCCTAGAGGCAGCTGCAAACTTTCAGTACCAGGAGCTAGCAATCAGCAAACAGTCCAGAGGCTGTTTTGGAGCTGCACATGAAGCCCAGAAAGCAGCTGGCTGCCTATTTTAGCACTTCACCCTCTCAGGCAGAACTAGGCAGCACCCACCCTGCCACCCTCTCACCCCTGCATCCTCTTCTCCTGGTTTTTGTCTTGCAGCTAAGGCGCTGTGATCAAAGTGCTCTTGGAGTAAAAGGACATTTACACAAGGAAGAACTACAAAATCTGGTACAAGATGGGCTCCAATACATTTATATGTATTTCATATGCACATAGTCACACACGCAGATACATGCACACACTGGGTATGTATTGTACATATGCACGCACATAATTAACTAAAAAAGTAAGAAACAGTTTTAATACGTGTTTTAAGAAACTTGGAAAGAAAATGAGACAACACCAAAAGGCATCATTGTGATGTGTGTCTCATGTACTCCTCAGCATGGTCATGGGTGTTTTCCACACAGCAGATTAAGATATAAAGGGGTCTGGATCCTTCTTATAGAAGCACATGACAATGTTATTTTCTGAACAATACTGAATTAACAGCTCCATGATCAAATTACAAAGCTGCCAATGTTCATTGGTCTCAGTGTGTTTTAAATCAGCCCTCCCAAAAAAGCAAACTTTTGAAATTTTTAATGTTAAAAAAAAATTGTAAAAGATTCCCACAGTTAATACATGACTCTTCACTGAAACAATGCCATCCATCCCGGGTCCCTACTGCTTCCTGCACAATCCTTGGCTGCAGAAGAGTAGCAGACCTTTCAAGAAAGGATGATGCTGTTTCATTCTTCTGTGTAGAAGGTCAGATACAGTGAGGACTTATGTCTTGACTGGAATAAAAATAAATAATTTAAGACTAAAGAAACTCTTCTTTCAGATGTGACAAGATGTGTTTGGAAAAGTATAGAGGTACTAGGCTCCTGTACAGGCAGTATCACAAAATCAGCTCTGAACTGCCAGCTGAAATTACAGGCCCTCGTAACTTTGCTTATGGGAATAAGAATGCACTACTGCATTTAAACCGAGTCCTAGACCTCCTTTCAGGAGCTGAAGATAAGGTGGAGTTTTGCCAGTGTTAGTATTTCTTTGCCCTCTGGGTTTCTTTTGACTATGAACAAGTCAAAGAACTAAAGGTAAAATTTAGCCAAGAGAGAAAAATTTTAACTAAAGCTCTATCTTCCTTCTCAGCACTGACCAAGGCTACAAATCTAGTCCAGGTCCACTAGAGGGATTTTTTTCTGAAATTCTGCCCAAAATCATGCCTCCTCTTTCTGAAGGACAATCACCACCAGAAGGGGGGACAAGGGCTGAATGGTTTCTATTCTACCCAGTAGAGGACAAATGTGATCACAAACCTAACTATATATCATGGTTAGGCTTCGTGAATGAAGATTTAGGAAGGCTCTATCCATGTTTGTTGCAAGCACGCTGGTGGCTTATGAGGCCAATACGAGATAGTGTATATATATAAAAATAATCAAAATCAGGAAAAAATTTGTCTGAGACATCAGCCTGTAAACTGTGTACTGGAGTTATTCCCAGTGAAGGGGTAAGGACCACCAGTTTAAATTACATGTCTGGGACTCTGAGTGCCTGAAGCAAGAAAAGACAACCCAAACTGAACAATGGAGAAGCGAAACTGGGAAGAAGCAAAAGTTCAAACCTAAACTGCCACTATATACTTAAATGAGATATGCTGAATTTGGCCTGTAAAAATATGCCAGCTGAAAATAATATGGATTTTACATAACTTACAACAATTTCTAGTCAGTGGTTTCCTTGCTGGAAATCACAATATTATGAAGGTCCCTAGCGATGGCTTGCAACAGTCAGGACCCTTGAACAGTGAAGATTCCTGCTTTGGATTAGACAGTTTGTATTTGTCTTAAAAGATAGCAATAGGGTTTCTTCCATTTATTCCTGGTCTGCAAACATGCCCAGAGGCTTGTCTACTTCTGCAAACATTGCTGGTTGCTCCAAGCAAAGCTCTATCTAGATTTGTATCAGAGATACCACGCAGGCATTGAATGTGGACTTCAGACTTTGCAGGAAAACAAGTAGTGATGTCTGGCTCAGTATTAAAATAGCAAGCCTTCTAAATGGTAGAGCATATAAATTAAAGGTCCCTTTGAATAGTTACTCCAGAATTATTCTTCTAATCTACTGAAAAGAGTGTTTGACCTAAAACAACCCTTGTTTTTACAAGGCTGTGTCAGTTTTAGACCCGCTAGAGGAAACAGTGGTATAATTATAACATGCAACTGGAATGACTGCGTGGGGAATTGGGACTCCTCAATAGAGCATTGAATTCATGACCCAGGAAGCTGCTTGCCTAAAAACAGGAAGCAATCTCCATTTTAAAGTTTTTTTTTGGCAGGTATCAGGGCTAACCCTAGACCCATCATGAGTCCAGCACCAAAAGCTTTCCACAGCAGGTCAAAGAAGCAAAGTCTTTTGCTTTTATTGTTGTGGCAGTTTTGGGGGTCTGTAACACATTGCATTTTGGCCATGTTACAAAATGCTACCTTAATGCTTCATAAGTGCCCTCCTTGGTGATGCCCCACATCAGCTCAGTGGATGCAGGCAGGGCAACCCAGGCAGGACCAGGCTTGGGTGCTCAGGGTGTCCTAAGGCAGCCAGGGTTCATAACTGCACGCAGTAAGCATATTCTGAAAATCAGAAAGATCATAAAGCAGACACTTCACTTGAGGTTATGCTTCTTCAGCCTGTGAACTATGCCCTAATGATAAGGCCACGTAAGTGAAAAAAAGCAATGTTACATAAAACCTCTTATTTGGGAGAGGTGATTAAAGTACTGGCTGCAATAGGACACAAAGAATTTGGAGAGCAGAAGCAGGTGTGAGGGAAAGAAAAAAGATACGTAGGGCTGTAAGAAGCACTCTTCTCTCTGCAAAAAAATTGCTGTGTGGATCTTGTGGTTGCAGCTCAAGGTCTCAGTAAGAATTGCAGAGGGTTCTTTCCTCATAGATTTAATTTATTTTTGAGAATTAAAAAAAAAATCAAAAAATTTGAAACATCTGCCACTGTTAGGTGTAAGATTAATTTTTCCATCCGTCCGAAAGATGGAGACCAACTTGTCCTGAGTTTCCCTCCAACACATTTAACAATAATTGATCTCTAAGTGCCAACAAAAAAAGCAAAATAGATATATGCTTTAGCCCAAAGCATATTTATGTCAACCACTGAAGTTCTCTGCGTAGTCAGAAAACTGACTACTATCCAGTACAGGCTAATATTTATTGAACGCTAGCAGCAAAACTGATGTGCAAGCAAAAAAATTTCTCTGGAGCTTAATATTTTACTGATTCTTCCCATCTGGACCTCGAAGAACTGAAAAAACCCAACCCAAACCAACCAACAGTCAAAAATCAACCAACCAACCAATCGAAAAAAAACCAGAAAATGCAAAGGTCTGGGTGTCTAAAATCTATGCATACGATGCAGTAAAGTTGCTGCAGCACGTCCATGGAGCACACTGTGCACAAAGGCACAGAAGCACAAATTCAGGGAACAGACTGCTTGCTCCTGCAGATGTGAGCATTTCTGCTCAGGAATGATAAACTAAATGCTTTAAATAAAACTGGAACTATTGAGAGAACATCTATTTCTCCAGTACGAAGGTATTTCCTTTACTGCACCTACTTAATCTATTCAGTGAATACACTAGGAACTGGGTATGTGAGATTAAAATGTGTTTACTTGAAACAAGACAGAAACAGTATTAAATTGCTGCTGGTCAGTATTAAAACACAAACCGTATGCCCTGTGCCATCTAATCTAGTGTGTTGGTTTTGTTCTGTAACATTAAAATTTTCAGCAGTAGCCTTTAATGCTGCATAAATGTCACCTAATTGCAGTTATCTCCTGCAGTATGATTGGTATTTAGGAAGCTCAAGCTAATGTCCTGTAAATTTGAATATTCATATAGCTCTAAGGCCAAAAGCAGAAGATTTTGAGGATAAAAACATCCCATATACGGGCACACACGTAAGTCTCTTTAAAACAGCAGAAGGATGTGCTTTTAATATAGGCTGCAGGGGTTTGGGGGTGATGCAACCACATTGCCCTAATGAAGCAGGATGTAGTTTCCTGCACGTAGTTTAACTTCAGCAGTTACTGTGCCTTGCTGAGGGGTTGTTTGCTGCTTCCCGGAGTGGAGCTGTCAGGCTGACTGCATGGAAGGCCCTGCTCCCAGCTGGTGCAAGCACAGCTGGGACAGCTCCACTGCTGCCAACAATGGCTAAAATTGAGCCACCTGCCTGCACTGGAGTGGATAATGGAAAGCTGTAGTGAACAGGAGACACAGCTCAGCTGTGAGGTCACTAGAGAGTAAGGGCATTTCATGCTGTTCCTTCTGAAACAACTGCCTGGCTTCAGCTAAAGATTTCCAGTGAGAACCATATGGTTTCTTCGGTCTGAGGCTAGATGCTGGGGATTAGCCAGAACACATACTTTCCTTTCACCTGCATACAGAACTGCTGTGTCCTACAGCCTTTTTTATTTCTAACACTTTTCGCATTCACGCACATTCACTTCCAGTTCCTAATTCTTTGTGTCATTATCATTATACAGGTGGACACAAAACTTTTCCCAGCAGAAGGCCACAGGCTGGGCATGTAAAATCTATACCTGAGCTTATGCCTTTCACACAGCATCAAACACTCCAATCACTACTTGCTGTTTATAAATCTTGACTTAGATTATTGTGCAGATATTATGGAGGAGGAGAGGCTCAACTTGTGTTTAAAATCATCTGAAAGCACACTGCTCTTATACTGATTAGCTCTCTATAAATACTCTACACAAAGATCAATCACTGGCTTCTATCAGTGAGATAAAACCCACACTAAATTATTTAATGAATAGGAAAGACCTGACTTTGCTTTACTCTCCAGGACAGAAAACATTCATGTACTTGTCTTGAGGTAGCTGATGTGGTCAAATATGTTATGGAATATGAAAATAGTGGAAGGTTCATGTTTATAAAAAAGTGCTGATGTTGGAAAAATGAATGTCAGTCATTACCATAATCCGCACAGAAAATTACAGGCAACTGAAATATCCACATTACTAAGCATCTTGTTCTTAACAAACATTGCAAAAGTGTAGTTAGTATCAACTACCTGCTCTTAAAATTACTGCCTTTGGCAAAGTCCAGCTTTATAGGGATAAGGAGTGTGCAAGCTCCGCCTTGCTAAAATACTAAATGTCACTCTAAATACCCTTTCCTTGGTAGGTCTGTGTTTCTTCTACCCTGAGACCAACACTGATGCTAAGCTGTGGGAGTCTGATCAGTCATCACATCACAACGGACAGGGACAAGGACAGGATCACAAAATGCAGCAGACTTGAGGCCATGCACTTGACCTGACTCTTCTTCCACAGCTGAAAGGTTGATGTTCAGGTTCTTTACAAAATACAGAGATTTCAACACATTGTAATCAGAAACAAAGGAAAGCCACGGCAGTTTCACTCAGTATCTGAGGGTGCTTGGATCCCAGGTTTAGCTTTGCCCGCTAAATCATAAAAGGGATTAAGGAGAAGTTCACATTTCTTGCCTCAGGAATGTTCAAGTCCTGGGCAACAGCCCCCATTCCTTTAATTACAACCCCTCCTGTGCCAGAAATTGTAACCAGAATCCAAGGGTTAGAAAAACCATCCACACAAATATTTGTGGATGAGAGACATGCAGGAATATCACACACACACACACACAGGCATCCCGATTTTGATATGAAATGGCACTGGCACACAGTATGAAAACACCAACTGCAGCAACATGCACTTGGAATCACCATGCAAGAGGAAGCAAAAATAAATAAGCAGTTGAAAAGTACCTCAGAAGTAACCTTGCTAGACAGTAATTTACAGGTGTACTGGTAGAAAGGGAAAAGACCAGCATTAGTACATTGAACAAGCATGTTATAACTAGGAAACAAGAACAAATTAAAGAAATTGCAAGAACTGGCACATTCCATAGTATAAGATTTCAAGCAACTTGGTTGTCACAAAAACAAAAAAAAAAAAGAAAGATTACTCAGTTTGGTGTTATTTTAATGACGTTGCTTGGCCAGTCTCAGTCTTGTTTACCATCAGTGCTTGACTCGTTCTCTTGCTGCTGCTTTTTCTCTTTTACTCATCTATTTAAACCCTGTATTGTAACATATCCTCTGGAAGAAACTGCCCCCTTTACTGAGCAGTGAAGTTCTTCCAAGAACAGATGCGTTTGATTTGCCCTTCTGAAAGGCAAAACCCACAAGCGCTGGACAGAGAGGCCATGTTGTAGCCACTGAAGCCAGACATAAAACAGAGGCTGGTGATGCCTGAAGGAGAGACAGGGTAGATGTCCTATGGAAACCACTCTCCTGTCTTTTGATGTGTCTTATGTAGGGAGAAAATAAATCTCTATACATCAATACTGCTGGTGTGCTCAGCATGAGAGGGAGTTTCCATGGACATCAAACCTCTCCACAATTCCATTCAGAAGACCATGGCTGCTGTGTACCTTGACTGCTCCCAGTACTTGAGGAAGTCCCTGGTTCCCCTCACTCAGAAAGAGCAACACTGAGCCACATTCAGCTCTCTGGATGTAATGCTCCAAGTGGCAGCTGCCTGTCTGGTTGTTAGTTATGCTCCTTTCCCCATATATTTCATGTATTTTTAAAAACAGTCCAGTGATTTCTCTTTTGTTTCTTTAGTTACAGAAATCTTTTTTTCCTGAGAACACTGATCAAATGTTTTCTGCTGACAAATCAAAACTATTCGTTGTTTAAATAATAATTGCTTAGCCTGGCACGTAAAATATTAGCTCAAACTGACAGTGGTACAAGCGCAGCACTTCTTATTTAAATTATCTTTCCCTTGTCAATGGTGGGAGTTGTTTACCAAAGGAGAGCAGAAAAAGGCAGGGAAGAGAAACAAAACACTCCTGCTGTTCCGAGGAAGTTGTCCCTGGCTGCTACAGGACACAGATCTCTAATAGGATTTTGGGTGGGCAGCAGCAAGAATGTGAATGTTGTTTGGCTTTATGCAATGGGCTTAACAGAAGAGGAGAATGACAACAAACCTCAACACTGCGGGATTTCAGTGTGTGCTGGGGCTCTGTAAATTCACTTGATGATTCATCCCAGAAAAGGATCTATCCCCCAGGGTTGTCTGACTGGCACCAACACTCTGGCAGCACATCTTTGGGCACTTCTGGGCCACTTTAGCAGCAGTGGATAGTCGAGCTGGCATCCAGAGCACACTTCTTTGGTCAGACACTGCCCAGATCAGCACTCTGTCAGGACATCAGGGTTTACTGCAAACTGCAGAGGAGACCAGGCAACTGTGGCCAGCCTGCTTTCTAGGGGGCACATGTGCCGCTCTACAAGCATCTGAGGAGCTGTGCTCGGGTAAATGAGCAGAGGGAGGTAGATGTAATGACATCTTGCATATCTTTAGTGTGCTACAACATGCATTACAAGTAGAATGTATGTGACCATCACACCAGTGGGAGAAGATTTCAGCCACCACTTCATGGGCTGGGCAAGTCACCTACACTCTTCAAAAGGATGGAGGAAGAGAGCAGGGTGAGTGAGAGCTGAGTGCTACCCCTCTAAGTAGAGCAGCTTCTCTGCTGTGCTAAAATTTCCAGCCACTGACAGACACTCAGTGTGGGATTCCCAAAGACCAGTTCTAGTTTGCACAGTTGGAGTTTTATACTCATCTTTTTTTTCATGTTCCTCACAGCTTCTACAAAGGTCGTGAGAGTTGTGACATGTGCCCTGCAAGCCTCTGAGCACCTTCAGAGAGAGATCCTCTGGAGAGATGCCAGAAAACAGCACTAACTGGAACAGGTGAAGCCACCTAATTTCAGTGGGTGCTTTGCAGAGGAAACCAGAGAGCAGCTCCTTCCTAAGATGTGGCCCCAAGATGCCACTGCCAGAACAAGGCATGCTTCTGTGCACAAGCTGGCTTCCTGTGTGGCTGCAGAAGCCTGATGGACAATGAAATCTTGTTTTTTAATGGTCTCAGTAGAATAACAGACCAGAAAGTTTCTGGTATGCACTGGAGATTAATCTATTTGCATTTTAGTTAGCCAAAAAAAGTGCAACAGTGCATTCATTCTAAGTATGTTACTGTGCAATATTTACCAATAATGATTAAAAAAGCTGCCAGACTAGTGCAGTATTCATGTTACAAACCTTCACTTACTTCTATACTCCTAATGAGACCCTGCAATTAATGAACATCACTAGAAAGCAGTTTGTTGGAGCATGAGCTCCTTGGCACTAAGGTCATTGTTCTGACATCTCTGGGAAATGCCTGGAGGACTGTGGCTGCTTCAGCAAACACTGTGACCATTCAAGAAGTTCTATACTGCACTTATATCTCACTACCTTCTGAACTCACTGCCCACAGTAATAACGAGTCTGAATAAGAAACAGCTCATGTATTGTTTGGAAACAATGCTGTATAATAGTTGCTTCTGAATTTTGATACTTCCAGCTACAAAATTCATAGCTCTTCTTATTAGTGCTTCTAATAAAGAATGCCTTAATTGGGTTAAACTCTCCTACTGTTTGTATGGAAGAAAAACAAGTCCAGCAGGAAATAGCAAGCTGGCTATTGAAGGATCCAAGTTTTTTTTCTGAGACATTCCCAGTCCAGTTCCACAAGAAGTGGTTTCTGGGGAAGTTATCAACTTACAATGAATCCTGAGCACACTGGGATGGGACTTTGTGAGTCTACAAACACAGGTGTGAATACATGCTTGATCCAAAAAGTTCAAAGAGTAACTAAAATAACCCATTGGAGGGTCTTGGTGATGTGTGCATTTACAGAATCTGATAGTTGTAGTGCAGCTATCCACTGCTCTTATTATTGGTTAACTTAACTAAAATGAAATCTGAAATATTTGCAGTGACACTCTCTTCCTCTCCATTGGTCCCCATCCTCCCAGATGTTTCGAACATCTGCTCCTTAAAATGTGTTAAAATCCTTACACACTTGCAAGGTGATTTGAGCAGATTCTGGTGAAATAGTTTTTTTTGTTGTCTGTTGGTTCTTGTGAGTCATAGTCTGTATTACAGAGCAAAAAGTGAGGAGGAAAACGGCACTTACACTGCTGTCGTCCATCCTTTCTCGTCTCTTAGTTTTGTGTGTTTCATAATCCTCCATCAGGGTCTGCATCAGGTTCTTGGGTCGCTGGGCTCCAGCAGACTCCTCGGATGGAGGGTCTGACTGTGAGACAGGGCCTTCGGTGGTAGGGGATGGAGGAGGCTTGATCTTCTCTATCTTCCCTGCAATGATATGAAAAAGAATGATCCTTCCTAAGCTGAGGATTCACAAGCTGTTTACCAAAGATGACAGCTGGAGAACCATTTTCAGCAGGGTTTGAATGAAGAAACAGTTTGGAATGAGGTCCATGAAACAATCTGACAAATCAGGATGGCCATGGAATTTAAAACCACTCTCCCTCTTGCTGTAATCCACTACACCAGAACACTGTTCAATCTTTTTACAAAACCTAGAGGAGTCACCAAATGACACAATGTAAGTTTTACCCACTGCCGTTGTTCACAGTAGTATCTTCTTGAACTACCCCTGTTCCCTCCTACAGGATACATTTCAGTGATTTGGTAATGTTTTTAAGATTCTGGAAAACTGCAAGATTTTTTTTTCTGGTTCAGACAATACAACACACAGGGACCGTGCACAAGACACCCAAAGAAGGTATCTTGTTAAGCACTGCTGGCTTTTTCTCTTTTTCCAGTAATTTATCTGCTTTGTAAGCAAGAAAGGTTTGGGGTTGATCCCTGGTGCTGCTCTCCCCTGCAGCAGTTCCCTGCAGGCTGCACAGGCTGCTCCTGTAGGGAGACCTGTGGCAAAACAGGATCAGGTCTCTGTCCTATAAACCCTTCATTCAGGTAGGGCTCTTCAGTCTCCTGGTGGGAGGAAAGTCAGAGAGAAGTCAGGTTTCTCTCTAACTGTGCCCATTTCACCCCATGGAAGCCTGTTTTAGGCACAGTGATCCCAGAGGTGGGTAAAAGGCATATCAGAACAAGGAAACCACTTCTACAAGCTGCAGGAGAGCTCAGGGGGTGGACAACCCATGCTCCTTTGGGAAGGACAGTCTGCCTTTCTGATCACCAGGTACTGGTCTGGGCTAAGCTACCCACCTTGTCCTGGTAGGAAGAATGAGGATGACAGTGGCAGGTCATAGGAATAATGTGCCAGGGTTCTCAGCTATGACAGAAGAAAGCAATACTGAACCAAAATCAGATTTCCTTTTCTATGGGACCACCATCAACTCCTTGAAATACGACATATTTCAGTGGATGAGGGAAGAAAACCAAACCAAACCAACAAACAAACAAAACCCTCAAAAAACAAAACAAAAAAGGAGAAAAATACTCACTGTAAACCCCTTAAAAATAAGTGAAGTAATCAGAAGGATAATACAGGTTTTCATGAAACTCGCTGCTGAGGCAAAGGAAAATCCTAGCTGCTCCTTCAAAAAGCATCGTGACAGTGGCAGCCACTAGAGAGCAGCCTTGAAACCTCCTGCAGAAATCAACAGCATTTATTCTTGAAGGAAGAAGTGAAATCTGAGTAGACACTGCAGAGGTGTTTTTACAAGAAATCTCCTGGCCAGGCTAGTTTCATTTCTGATCAGTGTTGGAAAACCCAGCATGACCAGTTTCTTGCTACAGGCTTATATCTTAAGCTGGGTGGTGCAGGGATGAGGTTGGGAATTCATCCTCCTTGTATCACCCTACCAGAGAGTGGAGGGGGGGGGTTCTGTGGGCCCAGGTTCTTCTCTGGGTTGCATGAGGTTGTCTTGCTCCACAGACAACCAGGAGTTATGCTGCCAAAGCAGAGGCCAACAGCAGGTCCTGAGCTGCCCAGCTGCACCCATCTGTGACTGCTCCACAGGAGAGAGTAAAAACTACTGTCACCTTGCCAGTGAGGTCCAGAGGGTAAAAAAGTGTGGTGAAAATAAAAGGCCTGACTGAGGGTCAGACATCTTCCTGTATTACTTCATTCTTACACTAGCAATTGCCTTAGATGCATGCAAGTAGTGCAAAAAGAATGAGAGTTCTCAGATGTCTGCCCAGCTTCTGCTTTCCCCTAGGGATGTAGACACATCACAGGATGCTCAGACTCATGGACAAGCCTAATGGTTGAAAAGAGCTCCTTCCACTCCACATCACCTTTGGGGATCTACATTTTATAAAGAGGGTATCTCCAAGGAGATCCACTGCCCCTGGATGGAAGGCCTATCAATTGTCATATTCATATATTCACAGAATCATTAGTGTTGGAAAAGACCTCCAAAATCACTGAGTTGAACCTTTGTATTATATGTATACCTATATATTGTATATGCATACACTGTATGTATATGTACACATGTATGGATACATATATAAAATAGAAGGCTCTAGCATCCCAAATCTACATGTACACATTCACTGTTTACTTACAGATATTGTTGCCATTTTTTCAGACATCTGCATAGCAAAGAAAACTTTTCAAATTAAGACATTTCAGCAAGATAGATTGCTTCAGGAAACTGGTCTGTGCTGGAGTCAGGGGATAGCTGAAGTAGACAAAAGAAAAGGTCCCTCTGGCAATATGGAGCCATTTAAGGCGAAAGGTGGGCTTCTTTGCTCTTCTTGAACACCAGGTGAGCAACACAAATAGGCAAAAGCACAAACACACAAACATTAAATAAAGAACCTCTCAAAGATCCTTTCACTTCATAGACATTCTCCACTACAGAAGGAATAAAAGAGCAAATGACAAATGAGCTGGGTTTGTATGCTGTTAGGGCACTCCTGGAAGTGCTCACGGGATGACTGATGAGCACTCCAGAGGAATCCTTGAAGAGAATGATGAACTTTGCTTTTTTTCTTACCGGTGCCTATAAAGGGGGGTAAGGAAACAGCATTTCCCATAAACATTTTTGCTCTAGCCTTTCTCAAAATTCTGATTTTAAAAAGGAGTTAATGCATATATATTATACCTGGTCCTTATTCTTTACAAGCATACAAGGCATTAAAAATTTTGCAATGGCCACAAATATTAAAAATATCTTGCCCCAAAGTTTCTGCCTCTCCTCCCACTATACAAAAAGTAATTTCAGGCTACGGTTGAACCTGAGAAGCTTCCTTAGTGTAGGTACTTATCAGTGAAAAATAGAAGTGGAAAATAGTTTTCAGGTTGAAGAGGCTCCTCTGACAAAGGCTTAAGCTCCACAGCTGCCACTCAGGATAAGAAAGTAGGTGAAAGAAAGAAAAAGACAACACACAGACTTCTCTCACTATTTGGAGGCAACAGTTAGCTAAAATTTAAAGGTATCTGATTGCTTGCATCTCTAAGTTGCCACTCTCCCACTTGGCTTACACCACCCACTGAAATTAGCTCATTTAGTGAGGGCTGAGGACAACAGAGGATGACTAATTGGTGGGCAGCTCTCCTTGATGGGTATGCAAGTGGGTCTGAGTGCCAGCATATGAGCGCAGGGAGTGCAACGTGCCTTCTGCCTCACCTGGAAACACTTTAGTAATAAGCACCGAAAAGGCAGACGTGACAGCTTCCCAAAGCTTCTCCCAGGCGTAGGTTCTTGTGTGAGCAATTTCCCTATACCTCATCATGAGACAACAAGATTCACAAAAGGTTTCTCTCCAACTGAAAAGCCCTCACCAAACCAAGACCTCTCATGTAATGATTTTCACATCTCCTCTGACGAACAGGATTACCTAGACCCAGGCACTACAGAAAGTTAGATACAAGTTCTTCATAGTCTAAGTTACTCCTAATAAAAGGAACATGGGAATTACATCACCAAACTTATGCTGAATCCTCTTGTGTCACACTTTCATCATCCTGCTCAAATAAACTATCGGACAGCCCCAACTGCTCTGCCCAGGAGAGATGCTGTACCATCTATACACTGTAGGAGGAAACCACTGGCTTGCTATGCAGCTGCTTGTGCCATGCCAAGTGCAGCAGAAGCTGCAGCAAAGCAATACAGGAAACTATCAAATTTAAATAGAGCTCCATAAATATTTTGGGACCCACGGAGACTATCCATGTAGCCATACTCAGACACTTTCTTGGTTTTTCTTGAGTTTTCTCACTCAGGAAATCCAACATTTTGTGAAAGAATTTGCATAGGTTCTTCATCTTTACCTTTCCAGAATACTCTGGACAAGTCTTGTCCTGTGTGCACATTCCACTGAAATTACCCTGTGTCTTTACCCAGTGAACTGAGGTGGGTTAAAAGGTTGCTTCAAATCACCCCAAACAACTTGGAAGGACACTTGTTAGCACTACAGAGGTTTAAAGACCTTTTGGACTGTGTTGGGTGGTTGGCAGACCAATTGAGTAGCTACGGTCAGCCGTAGGAAAGTTGTATTGTCATGGTGAGTAAAACCAGCCTGTTTGCTATCTAAAATAATTACAAGTTACTTCATACATACACCAACATGAATGGTGTTAATCTCCCACATTTCAGTAAAATTACAATGCAGTTCACTGCAGTCCTTTTTTGTGGTTGGCGTTTCTGTTATCCACCTAAGTATCCATATCCACAGCATTGAAGAGCAGCAGGAGTAATAAATAACCATGGAACACCTGGAGTCCTAGTAAAGCTACTGTGCCCAGACCACCAACTAAAACCAACCTCATTGTAAGGCCATTGCTAATTAAGTTAATTATACCTCCTCAAAAGAGTTCTGGTGAGTTTACACTTCCCCACTTAAAGGTTTAGAAATAGATTTTTCAAATTTAGACTGGACCACTTAATCCCTTCCTGCTGAGGCATCTTGATGTTAAAAGTGCCAATCCTTTCTTTCAGAAAGATAATTTGCTGACGAAAGTACTTCTGTTTCTTCCTTAGTAGTAGTAGTAGCAGTGTTACTGTTATTTTTCTTTGTGAAACTAGATATTCATTTTACAGTATGTAGTGGGTTTCTGTGGCTGGGTTTTGGTGGGGGGGGTGGTTACAGGGGTGGCTTCTGTTAGAAGCTGCCAGAAGCTTCCCCTGTGGCCAGTGCCAGCCGCTCCAGGACGGACTTCCTACCTCTGGCCAAGGCCGAGCCAATCAGGAGTAACAGTAACACCTCTGTGATAACATATTTAAGAACAAAAAGCTGTGGTGCAGAAAGAATTCCATCTTGGGAAGAGCGGAGTGAGAACATGGGAATGACAATGCAGACACCAAGGTCAGTGCAGAAGGAGGGGCAGGAGGTGCTCCAGGCACCGGAGCTGAGGCCCTGCAGCCCGTGGTGCAGACCATGGTGGGGCAGCTGTGCCCCTGCAGCCCATGGAGGACCATCGGGGTACAGAGACCCACCTGCAGCCCATAGGGGAGCTCATGCTGGAGCAAGTGGATATCCCAAGGAGGCTGTGACCCCATGGGAGCCCCAAGACGGAGCAGGGTCCTGCTGGAGACCTGCGGCCCGTGGAGAGGGAAGCCCACACTGGAGCAGGTTTTTCCTGGGTAGCACTTGTGGCCCCTGTGGGGGACCCACATCAGGTCAGCTCATTCATGAAGGACTGCACCCCATGGAGGAGTGACCCACAGGACAGCTGTTTGGGAAGAGCTGCTGCCTGAGGGATGGACTCATGCTGGAGAGGTCCATCAAGGACTGACCTCTCCCAGCTGTTATCTCAACTCATGAATCCTTAGCTGTTTTTTTTCTTTCCTCTGTCCAGTTGCAGAGGGAGAGAGTGGCTTTAACAGGTACCTGGCATCAGACCAAGGTCAACCCACTACACAGTACCAGACACATTCTACAGCATAATCCTTAGTGTGTCCACCAGAAGCAGGGTTTTTTTTTTTTTGCTCTGTAAATCACCTCCGTAACTGGCTGCAATTCAGCTTTACAGCCAGACTTTTTTGCCTCTGATGAATTACATTTCGCCTCTGTTTTTGCAAATATTTAAAAGATCCTGTAAATATTAAAGTAAAGTGGCTGCAGTCTTGCAAGGGATTGCATGGTATTCCTCCTCCCTATTTTTAAGGACGCCTGCAAGCTTTAACTGCAGTACAGCTGGCTAAAGGGACAGCAAGGATGAGATGAGATGAGGTTACACACCCTGCAACACTAAGGGTGCTGAGCTGACGTACTCCAGCTGAGAGCTATGCTGAACACATCTGCTGCTCAGAAAATACTGAAAGCAGAAAATTTAAGAATGACTTTGGCAATGCTCTTTGTGGTTTTTTTTGATCAATGACATTCTTAAACATTGCCACATATTCATCTTTTCCTAGAAATTACTTCTTTGCCTTGTCACCAGCTGCAAAATGCAGTAGCTTGAGTCATTGGCTAATAGATTCGATTTTCTTTCTTGAACGTGTGGCAGTTGGACATTTTAAGGGAAACTGTCTGGAATGATTCATTATAAACAGAAGTTTATCATTTTCTCTAGAACATAACATGACAAACATTTTTACAGACACAAAGTAAATGCCTTGTTGTGTAGAGAAAGCAGAAGTACACTCTTTTCCCAGATGCTCCATTAAAACAAGCATTAGTGCCAGCAGTACTTCCAACACCACCTGTGAGTAAAACACAATCATATCATTTTGAGCACTTTCAGCTACAGATGATGCTGTTTTTGAGAGAGGTCACGAACACACCTTTACGCAATGAGTCCTCCTGGTTGACGTTTGTGGTGCCCTATATCTCACATCTTGTCAGATATTGCTCAGAACACCTCAGTTTAGAAGTGGTTCCTATTAAAAATGCTGTTCTGTAGGAGTAATAACAATAGCACTCCAAAGAAAGGATTGATATCTGCTACATTTTTTGGCAAAACCCACAGATTAAAATCATCCCCTTTGCAGAAGAAACAAAACCAAGTATTAGCTATTTATGTGTTCCATAACACTCCAAGTTCCCAATCATATGGGTAAATGAAGTAAATCCAGATCTTACTCAGGCTTGCCATGACTTTCAAAAGAAAATGACCACCACTCACTCATGTTTACATCAGTGGAAGTAAGGACACAATCTAAATACTCTGAGTAAAATGAATACTTCTTCACAATGATCACTGTTAATAAACCTCTTAAGTACTTGCAAAGCGTATGTAGGTATATGCTTATAAAAATCACTACATAGTAAGAAGCCTGGTATGTGTTTTTTTATATTTTTTTTTTCTGTATTATATTAAGAAGGCATGAGTGTTGATTTTATTTCTTGAGAAGGGGAAAAGAGATATGCTCAACTGGAATGAATGTCCCCACAAGAACTCAGAAACTGATCAGTCAGAGGAGGACTTCTGACTCTATTAGGCACTTTGTTTGTGATGCCTGTTTAATTCAGTAGTGAATGACACCAACTGAAATACATGGCAACTCATGACTCTGGAGATCATTCTACAAAACAAAGTTCATTAAGGCCAAGAAAGACCTGAAAACAGAAAGCAAAATACACAGAAAAAGAAATCTGATTCAAAACCCCAAAATCTGTGAATCTCCACTACATTTGCACTTCCTTAATGACATGCAAGAGAACAGAAAGCCTGTTAAGAAAGGCCTTGTATGTTTGTCTTTCAAATAGCCATACAGCTGCAAAGACTGTTGCTGTCCTTCCCTGAGATGATCTTAAACTACGCTGAGTGGTCTTAGCAGCATAGGGATAGACATGTCATCTACAATCAGTGTGGCAGGGGATGAATAGAGCACAGTGTTTAGTAATAATTATCAGCATCTCTAAGTTAATACTGCACTACATTTGTGAAAAAACAGAGCCTTCCATAGGTGTGCTCACGAACTGCAAGGCTGTCCTATGCAGTCCTCCTGCCTGCAATTTCCTGGCAGACGAAGTCATGACCCTCCTACACCCTGCAAAACAATGTTTTCATTCAAAAATGACATAAAACTAAACCATACCTGACCCTTCAGTCACATTTCACTTTCCCTCTAACACTTTGGGCACTTACCTGGTGCAGTTTTGTAAGACACGGTTCTGGTGGGCATGGGTGGTACACTCTTTGTAACAGGGCCTGGTGCCATTTGCAGACCTTGCCGCTGCCTCTTCAGCTCCTCTTCTCGCTCCTGGGCAGCTCTGATCTCTTCTTCTATCATCGACAAAGTTCGCTGTTTCCTTGACCGTAACTTGAAAGGGCCTACGGTCACTTCAGGCTCCTGTGTGGCCAAGATGGAGGCCGTGCTCCTAAGCTCAGCTGCCTCTGAATACTTGCTGAAATAGCTGACTTCATGTTTGCCTTCCTCCACAAGGAACGGCTGGCTGGCTGAGTACATGGGTGACTGCTGCAAATTCTTCCCTTCTCTGAGTCCTGAGTCTTCCTCTTTTGAAGTCTTTGGTATGGCGTCCCTTTTTTCTTGAACTGGTGAAGACACCTGGGGTGGCTCAAACATTGGGTTCTGATGCTCCTTGGAGGCTGGAGCTGGCCCAGTGGTGGCTGGCTGCTCTTGGACTGAGATCTCTTTCTCTGCTGGTATTTCTTCTTCCTCGCAGTTTCCTTTATCCGCCTGCTCGGCTATGGCTTGTTGGATGGCATTTTGAACAAGAAGGCCAGCCTGGTACTCCAGCTGGTCATCCATCAGCATGGAGTCTGCCAAGGCAGAGGAGGGGGATTCACAGCCTGGGTCGCTGAAAGACTTGGAGATGCCTTCACTCCTACTCTCTGCTGGAGTGTCGGCCTGTGGGGTCTGCGGCAGGGAGAAATCTGCCAGCGAACTTTCCTGCAGGGCGCTCATGGTCTCATTGGAGGCACCACTGTCGCTTATGTTATCCATGCTGAAGTCATTAGAAAGGGTCTCCAAGACAGTGGTATCCTGAGACCTAACAGACAAATCATCCAAACCTGAGTCAAGCTCCTCTGGAGGGGAAGAGGCGCTGCCTGACTTTGGGAAGTGGTCTAGAATTCCTTGTCCATCATCCTTCACCACTGTGAAGACCGCTCTTGCACTCATGAATTCTCCATCCTCTGCCCACAGTTTTGAGGCTGGTCCAGCTCTGGGGCTATCACTGCATGGTAGCTCTCTTGCTGTGTCAGCCACAGTAGTCTGGGTACCTTTGTCATCTTCTGAGGTACAGGAGACTTTCTGTGCTTTGACAACTGGGACATTGTTACCTTCTGTTTGCCCACAGACTGAAACAGGTCTTGTCACAGAGGACATCGGCTTGTCCACATATGGAGAATTGAGGCTTTTGTAGAAGGGTTTGATGGAGAACATCTTGGGTGTTCCTGACCGCCTCGGTGGGGCCTGACCCTGAGATGGACCTGAATGCTCCATCAGCTGGAACTGCTTTCTGGCAGCTGAGAAGTCAATTTGCTCAGTAACGATATCCTCTTTTTTGATACTGACTGACTCTGGGGCTACAAAGGAGCAGCTGACCTGTTTGGGGGATGCTGGTGTTGCACCTTGCTGCTGCTGTCTCTCCTTGCGCTCCTTGTACTTCTTGTGAGATTCCAGATGATCTTCATCCAGTTGATCCTCCAGGGGCTTCTCTTGAGGAGGGTTCCACCATTTGGCAGCAATGCTGGGGTTCTTCTTGACAGCCTGGCTCTTAATGAGTTCCCTTCTTTCCTTTTCAAGTTCCATCATTTCTTCCGATTGTCTCACTTTGCGGACTCTGTATTTTTCCTTTTCTTCCTCATCTTCAAAGAGCTTTGAGGGCTTTTTGTCTTCATGGAAGGCTCGCAGTTCAAACTTTGCCTCTTTCTTAAGGGTTGTAAGAGTTGTTTCTCCATCCTTAGAGGATCTTCTAGAACTGTTTGAAGAAGTGGGACTTCCTGGCACCTTCAGACTCTCCCTAGTGTCTTCTTTCAGTCCACCCAAGGAATGGCCATTAGATTTCAGGTTCTCATCTGTTATGCTAGCTTCACATGCCTCAACTTCCAAGGCTGCCTGCTTGTCAGCTACATTTTCTTCCCTTTCACTGGATCCTGAATCTTTACTGACATTAGCAGATGCTCCTGAGCCATCCATAATGGAGATTGCACTTGGTTCAGGGGAGGATGTCCCATTAAAGGTACTATCTGCAGCAGAATCGCAGCAATTTGCTTCCAGCACTTCATCTAGGTATCTGATCTCCTTAGCAACTTCACTGTCCAGAGATTCGTGCCTTTCCTTAAGTCCATTGCGGCTGGCAGCAGAGGAAAAAAAGTGGGTTGGATTGTCTACGGGATGTGGTGAAGCCACTGTGGTGATGCTTTTGTGTTCAGAAACTGGAACTTCAATTTCCATTTTCTCTTCCTTTGTAGCAAGCACAGTAGCTGGCTCCAAGAAATTGGCACAGTTTTGGTCTCTGTTTTTTCTCAACCGGATGTCATCCTCAGGGATTCTGGAAGATTTCTAAAATAAGAGAACAAAACTATGATGAAGTCCTAAAAAAACTCACCCAATTTTTTGGGAGGTAAACACGATCTGAAAACCAAATCCTAGCACTTCTTAAACTTGAGATTAAGGCATTCCCTCAGAATGTGAAAAAGCAAGGCAAACTATTAACACAAAAACCAGAATTTATCGTACCATAAACTGGAAAAGGTATTAAAACAACAACAAACTTTCATTTAAGGATCTCCCATCTGCTTACCATCCTCACTTTGTCATTTTTTCATGCCTGCATCTTGATATGTGACTAGGACTGAGCTCTGGATTTCTAAGTTAATACTGACTTGGCAGTTTAAACTTTTCAAAGATTGGCACATGCAGCACACAAGACCTATGATCTTGGTATTTTAAAAATGCTTTCCACACCTAAAGGAAATCTCATAATGCTTCTACAGATGAAAAGTATTACTGCCCCTGCTTTGCAGAAACAGATGCTTATGTGCAGGAAAGTGATTCATATCAAGTTTGGAAAAAGGATGTGGCAGGGAATGCTCATTTTTTCAGTGGCTCAATCCTGGTCATCAAACACAGGGTAGAATTACATGGTGTTGAAGAGACATGGGGTCTTTCTCCAGCCCACATGGCAACCCACACACAATTGGACCTGAGAGACAGGAAGCATCTGCAACTCCCATGGCATGAAGATCACCACAAGGAGCATGACAGGGACCAGAGTCATGGTCTCCTCCCTCCCACTTCTTTGATCTGCAGTGCAGATGCACTGAATTCATATTTCTCCCTGATGTGTTGCCTCTGCTTACAAGGAGGTTACTGAAAGAAACACTATGTTCAGGTACAGGCAGATTTTACTGGTCAAGCAGCCTAATGAACTTCTGTGAGTAAAATCTGAATGAACTTCCAATTACATTGGCAACATACCAATTAATTCCTCAATAATTCTATATTGCAAAAAGAAAAAAAAAAAGAAAACACCCAAAGAGAAGGAATTTTAAACATCATTCTTCAAAAAGAACTTGCTAACTCTTGCTAACTTCCTACATCATGAAAACCAAAACTGACACATCTATTTACTTTGACTAACTTTTTAAAACAGAAATGTGGTATCTGAGGTCTCTGTTTCCCTTTCTATGTGTGTTTCTATGTGTGAGGCATGGGCTTGGAAAGCAAATGGCAATGATCAAACCCTGTGAACTCCGTGGCCACCAACAAGGACACCATTGTCTGCTAGTCACCCCCGCCCCCTGCTGTCCCTTATCCAGGATGCTATTAATACACATTGCAGCAGAAGATGATCAACAAGGAGCACAGTGGCACTTACCAGTGACCTGAACAATCACATTGCTGCTGGATTTACATAGGCAGTCAAATGCATTTGACACACCTTAAAGAATTACAGGCAGTCAGCCGGAAGAGCTCTTTCTAAAAACACTCTGGAGATCTTTCTGTCTAATTATGTAGTTGTACACATTTAAAGACACTGCTTCAGCCACTAGATAAGTCTCTTCTTAATGGTCCTTAAACATTGGAAAAAATCTTTAAAAACAATCAATCTGCTTTTGTCTACATATTTTACTTGACAAACTTTACTGGTTCTGCTTGCTTCACTTCTTCACTTTCTGTTGAACTCAGAAATACTCCAGCAAAGGTCTCTAGCAGCACTTTTCTTAAAGCATATTGTATTTTTCGTCATTTAAATATCTAAATGTGGCCATTTTCTTCTTTAGTCCTATTAAAGATATATTCAAGAAATCAGATGTTCTGCAAACAAATACAGAACAAATATAAAAAGTCCTTACTTTTTCAGGTGGGCACAGAAGGAATGAAAAAAATCATAGATACGGTTTCTTTTAACCTGAAAGGGCAAGAATTGCACTTGATCTGCTGGCAAGGCTCCACCAACACAACCGGTACTCAGGTGACAGGATTAAGACTGCAATATCTGTTTGATATCTGGGTTTAAATCTTCCCTTCTTGACTCGCGGGTGCAATAAGGAGTATGTTGGTTCCTGGAGCAGCATGTGCAAAGTGCAAGACTGATGGCTGTCCTCTGTTACACAAACCATGGGTACGCAATTATGCTCCTGCTAATATTTGCTTCTAACTAAACAGATCAAAGCCACTAATGATATTGGTAGGTAACTGTGTCCTCTGCAGCCACAGGAATATATCATCAATGGACACAGAAAATCAGTGGCACTGCTGCCACTGAAGCACATCTACCTGAAGAGCCAAACCAGAGTAAAAGGGTCCCCTGTTCCTGTGCTTCTGGTACCTCCACTCATGGAGCTGGGAATATATCCCTGGTGGTCCCAGAGACTGCATTCACTAAAGCATGTCCACTTCCGTCACTGCTTTAATGTATGAACCACTGCAGATCACACCACACCTGGATATTCAAATTAGATGACAGAACCACAGGTATAGTGCTCTACTTAAATCTCTTAGCGAGTAAGAGCCTATCCTCTCATCATAGCTGCAATCCATAGCTCACAAATAAGGCACACGCACGGAACTGTCTAATCAGGGCATGCATTTGTGATGGCATGTAACTCTGAAAGAGTATGTGTCTCTGCAATTAGTGTGGCACATGTAATTATGTAGCAAAACAGACAATTATGCAGTAAAAGCTCTGAGGAAACATTTGCTACTCATTGGAGGAGGCTTTCTTTGCTAGAAATTAGCAACTGAGCATGAAGAAGGGCTCCTGGAATGGCAGAGAATCCAGTGAGGAATGCTAGGAGAGGAAAAAATACGATTAAGAACTCACACAATTTTCTTCCTCAACACATTCTGGCAGAATCTGGGGACAGCTTTGTGAGGTCATGGCAATGAGAGTATGCTCCAAGCACTCCTGTAAGAGCAGAGTCAATTTGCTGATTCTAATTACTTTTAGAACAGAACTGAGATAACTAAGGATGGAAGCAGCTGACAAAAATAAAAACTTTCCAAGACAGCCCAGGCCACAGAGCCTGCTCAGGACAACTGGCTGGGCGTGGGAGAATGGCACGTCAGGATGACGACACCGACACCGTGCATGGGAGGAGGCTTGGAGGAGGAGGGTGGTGGGACACACACAGACCCCCTGCCTCAGCTGTTTGGCAGAAGCAGGCGAGCTTTGCAGGGGACTGCTTTTGCTCCTCAGCGATAAACCCCCCACCAGCAGCTTTGTATTTGCCGCCTACAGGGAGGAGGCTTTTCAAAGCCTGCACCATTACAAGACCTGTGAATGGGAAATAGGCTGCATTCAATCCTAACTGTAGTCAGCAATACAGCATTCACAGAGATTCCTTTAAACTGCTCATCTAGACCCAGATTTTCCAGAAGTTGCTGTTACATTTACACAAACTCTGAATGTGCATTCATTTCTGTTTAAGTCAAGATGCAACGGGGTAATTAGAGTCACTTCTACAATGCTGCTGCACTTTACTAAACTACAGTTATTAGCAGCTTAGAAAATTATTAGCATATTTTCTCTTTGGCTGAATTCTTCATCTACAAAAGTGTAAGTGTTTGGGAAATCAGTTCTTTTAGAAGGAAAAAAATGTGGGTGTGCTACTAGCAAGACCCAGCAAACCTACTGCCAGTGCCTTCCTTTGTTTGATGCAACACAAAATGCCTACGGAAACAAGGGGGAGGCAATCCTGAGCCACATCAACATTCTTCCGAAGCAACAGTGGCTGTGGTGAGGACGGAGAGGAAAAGAGAAAACGATTGAGAAGTTTTATGGTTTAAGAATCTAACACAGCTTCCTCATTGCACGATCCTACAATCACTCCAGCCAAGTTTCAGGACAGTTTTTGATATTGTTGGTCTCCTGGCTTCATTTGCATTGTCAACCTTCCATTTCTTCAGCTTTCATCTTCTTTTGAAGATGTCCTGTATTTCATCTGCTTCTCCTCCCACTACCTGGGCACTGAACCAGTGTTTTGTTCAACCCTATCCACTCTGCTCTTGGATCTGACTCTTGGGCCGACCATACCTCTAGCAGTTTTAGTACTAAAACCACATTTGCATGCGGCTGACCGGCTAATCCATAAGTCCTTGATGATGTCAACCATCTTATCCCTCTCCACCTACTGTCTTGGCCTGCCTCTCTCTGCAAATAAGAAGGAACCAAATGATGGATTTGTTAGGAGGCTGACTCTGGCAAACCTTCAAGAGAGCAGCTGCTTTCATTCATCTCACCCATTGGTCACCAGTCACCACCTGTGTAACAGATGGAGCCAATCTCAAACACTACAAAGATACAAAAATCAACTGCACCTCTGTGCTTCTAGACAGCCCTCTGGTCCAGGGACAAAACCCCTAGCCAACACAGATATTGCTCCATGCTTGCTTGTGACAGTAAGTATGGCTTTAGAGAAGTCATTTTCTGTAGAAGGATGGTAAGACATGGTGTTGCAGCTCATAACCATCAAGAAAAGCCTAGAGTTGTATGAGGTGGTAGCACCCATCCATCACAGCTCATTTTCTCTGCCACACAACAGGTGCTCATACAGGAGCCATCATCCCACCCCATCCCAGATGGGAAAGGCAGCCCAAACCACTGTGGCAGCTCCCGTCTCACAACGGCTCGTGCGCTTCCTTCATCCCTCCCACGGCCGGCTCTCATGGGGCAGCTGCCACCCCATTCACCTCCAAAAATGTGGTAATCCTCCCTCCTCACTGGAGGGACAAGAATGCACCAGTGGAAGCCTTTGCAGAAAGCAGTCTGAAGACACAGGCCAAAGTCTTTGTGTTTTGGAAATTTTCTGTTGAGGGGAGCTAAGAGAAAGCAATAGCTAAAAAAAACCTTCAGAAGATCCCAGAATTGAGGCAAAAACAGGGATATAGATGATGATGCAGAGTTCAAGGAAAGAAAGGGGATTTCTACTGACATCCCCTACAGAAACCATTAATCTTCATTAAAAGAAAATCAAACCCAAATACAAACTCAAAGTGTTGCCTTGTTCCTATGAAAAAAGGTCTCCTTTTTTCACACTATATTTTATACTGACACC